AGCAGGAGCGCGCCGTGGGGCACGCGGAGCTGCGGCTCCTGGCCTGTCTCTGCCTCCCCTGGGGTCTTTGGGACAAGTCACTTTGCCCACCACGGCCCCCCCCCGTTGCAATAGTTCCCATCCAGGGCTCATGTGGAACTGTCACCTGAGCAATCACCTGCGGCCGTGGGGTCCCCAGGTGCTGCCGTGCCCCTGGGGCACACACCGCTGGCTCTGTGTCCCCCGGGGTGAAGGTACTGTTGGTTTTCGAGCACCAGGAACCATGCAGTGCCCCAGGGCATGATATGTAGCTTTGCTGTGGGTCTTCCCCACCGTCTCGGTGCCGGTGGCTGGGGGCTGAAGGAAGGGGATCCCTCCTGGGCTGGCGGGGCTCCTGTTGCACCCCACCTCACAGAGCATGGGGCCAGCCAAGCTCTGGGGCGCGTGGCAGTGGCTTGGGCACAAAGCGGGGCTGCTGCAGGGGTGACAAGGACATCTCCTGGGCTGCAGAGGTGGGATCCCACCACTGAGGTGGCCGTGCTCAGCCCAGGGAGGAACCTGATGCAGAAATAAGCAGAACTGGGATCCTGCAGCATCCCCTTTCCCCTGCGCATGGCAGCACTTGCTGGGAGGTGAGACATGTCCATGGGTGGGAACAGCAGCAGCTTGTGCTGTTCCCGTGGGGTATTAATTCCTACGGGCGAGCAGGGGTGGGCAGGAGCTGGAGATGTGGTGGGCAGTACGTGGGGAGGGCAAGGGGAGACGGCTCTGTGCTGAGGGGTCAGGGACGGCGCCGGGGGACGGGGACGATCCTTGCTGCCCATGGAGCTCTGCGGCACTAACACGTGTGAGTGCTCAACCCCGGGGTGCTGGGGGGGGCTGCAGGGCTCAGCCCCCCCGTTGGGATCTGTCATCCTCAGGGTGACCCAGGCAACAGGGGGAGAGGTGAGCGAGAGGCAAAAGGGCTTTTTATTTTCAAGATGTTTTATAATGGGATTATTAGTTCCCAAGAGGTGTTTCGAATTGATTTGGTAAGGAATCGCTTTCATTTCTCCTCCGCAGAGATGCGGTGGGAATCCAGCCTTTGGTGCGAACCATCGCAGAGCTCTGGAAGCTGTAGATCTGAAAAACTCCCGGCACAGTGGAAGGACACGCTCGGCTCCCCTCGGCCCCACACACCCCACACATGCCCTGTGCTCCGTCTCCGGCGTAACTCCGCCGTGCGCAGCATCCGGGAGAGCCAGGCTGCGGCCCCATGGGAGCAGCGGCTCCACCAGGGAGGGCTCTGCCCATCTCAAGGGAGGGAAAAAAAACCTCTTCAAAAAATCCCCCCTTTTCCCTAGGAAAACCCCTTTTTTCTGGGGGATCTAACCTTTTCCCGACAAAGTTTTCACTGCGTGCCCGGCTGGCACCCTGCGCCTGGTGCCCGGTGGCCCTTTCACCGCAGCAGCGAGGGGAGTGCAGGCATCTTCAAAAGCCCTGGAAAGAATTTGGTGGGAGGGGGAGAAGGGGTTTTACAAGCTCCCATTCAAAAATGGTCACTTTGAAGTGATGTAGCATTTTCAACCCTTTGAAGAGCCACAATTAGGAGGGGGCTGGTGCAAGCGAAAGGCACAACTACTGGGTGACCATCACAGCCTTTCTCTCCCCGGGCTTTTAAGGGATGAACTTTTCCTCCCTGCCTGCCTTTTTCTCATGAGCCCAGGGGGATGGGATTGGGGTGTTCGGGGGAGCTGGAGGTTTCACCACCCCCCCATGCAGGGAAGGAGAGGGTCTGCAGTTGCCTTTGCCCACCAGCAGCACGGCAGCTGATGGAGCGTGTCGGAAGGGAGAGCAAATTGCCCAGGATTGCTGCAGGAGCATCGAGTGTCTGTGCCTTGGCACTGGCAGGGCTGGGGGGCTGCAAGGGCAGGCAGGGGAATTTTTTAGGCTCCACGGTGGGGGAAGATGTTGGCCATCGGTGCTGGCTGCTGGCAGCGTCATTTTGATGATCTAAAAGTCCCAACCAAGGTAGATGTCCCTCCCGTCGGGGTCCTGGAGGCAGATGCAGAGGTCTGGTACTCGAGAGCAGGCATGATGAATAGGAAAGGGGAAGAAAGGCAGACTTGTGTCTGTGTGATATAAACTGAAGAAAAGCGAGTGATGGCCCAGGGTTTTGCAGGGAGTCTGTGGTTCGTGTGCTTGGAGGTGCAGCTCGCAGCTTGGCCTCCTCAGCGAGCCGGTCCCTGCATGCCCAGGCTGAGGCCACCCCGTGCCATCATGTAGCACAGGGCAGAGGGAGGCAGGGACGGGGCGAGGGCAGAGCCCCTGCCTCCTGCCACAGGGATCTGCCACCGGCTGATGGGCTCTGTCCTGGGGAAACCCCCGGGAATGGGGCTCTTCTTCCATGTCCCTGCTCCAGCCAGCTCAGGGGTGTCCTGAGAGCAACCCGGGTGCTTCACCACATGCCAAAAATGGGAGAAAATGGGAAACAGAGGTCACTGTTTTTCTCTGAGAATGGATGTTGGTGTCCCAAGCAGACGCAGAGGATGAAGGAAAGGCACATCCACGAGCAGGGCTGCAGGGCACCTGCCCAGGGCACAGCGATGGTGAGCCCAGCTCTTGGCCGGTGGCTGGGACTGGGCTTGGGGCTGCTTCCCCTGAGACTGGGCTTGGGGCTGCTTCCACTCGTGTTGTGGCAGCGGCCCCCAAACCTGTGCTGTTCCGGGGCTGGTCTGCAAAACCACCCTGAGAACATCTCCAGTGACAGCCTTGACCAAACAGTGTGGCTGGCTGTTTGTCTGCTGGGAATGGGGGGTGACCGTGCCCCACCAGCTTGGGCTGGTCATCTCCTCTGGGGAGGTGTGGAAGTCTTGGGGGCCTCTGGGGAGCCCCCCCCTGAACCAGGGGCTGGTGTGAGCTGAGCCTCCCGCACCTCTCCTGGGCTGTGGCTCTTGCTCGTGCAGTGGCAGGGGCCGG